CCTGCCCTGTGGGTGGGTAAGCAGGAAAGGCAGCCACGTCCTGCAGAGCTGCAGGTCCTACCAGTGCTCCAGGGAAGCTCTGTAGGGCGGGGCTTACTGGGCACGCCGGCACATCCTTGCGACGCGTGGATATAAGGGGTTAAGCATTAGTTATTGCTGGTGACCTTCAGACCGTGGGATGGTGGTGGTGCTTGGCCAGAGGCCGGGGAGCTGTGTCTGGGTGGGATATGAGCCGCGGCCCCTCAGCACGCCCAGCTGCCTGGGCACCGAGTGGAAACAGCTACGTGTGGGCAAGTACGTGCCCGGCTGCCCAAGAGCCCAAGAGTCCACCCCACTGCAGCACCTACAGGGTCTGGGTGGGCAGTGGGGGCGTGCTGGGGTCCCGCAGCAGGTGAGGATCACAGCAGAGGGCGCTGAGGCTGTGGTGTGGGCACTTCGCCTCCTCCCCATGCTGCCATGGTCCAGCCCAGGGGCTGGGAGGTCCTGGGGCAGCACTTCAGCTGGGGGAGCTGGACCCCATCAGCACCAGTGTCCCTGAAGGAGGTGTCATGGTCTGTCCCCGGGGCTCTGGTGGATTTAAGTCCCCCCAGCTGTCTTCTGTCAATGTGACTTGAGGTGGCAGCTGAACCATCTGGAGCTGTTTGACAAGGGCTACTGGGCAATAGGGCGCCTACCAAGAGGATGTCCCCTGTCTTCCTGCGCTCTCCCTGCATGGAGCAAGCTACAACCCCCCGCTGCACCCACCTGCAGGTAGTGGTAGGCCAAGTCTTGATGGCAGGACTTGGATTTCAGCAAGGCTTTGTCGATCGTGGCGGAGGCCTTCTGGCACACTTCACGGGCATGGCTGAGTGTCAGTGTGGACCAGGAGCCCCTCTTAATGTAGTTGGAGTCATTGTTGATGGGGATATTGGTGCAAGGGGTGACCTTGAGGTCGTTATTGCTCTTGGAGGATTTCAGCATGTGCTCGCTGATGGTATTGTAAGCATGCATGAAATACTTTGGCTGGCTGTGGTCCGGCTGCCGGCCCAGCGTCATGAGGCCCATTGGGTTGCGGTAACTGCAGGTATCGCTGTCTAAGTTGTCATCTGAGCTCCACCAGCCTGATATGTTGGATCTGGTCCTGCGCTTGGGCTCGGAGGTCTTTGCTCGGTCTTTGCTCTTGCTCCTCCGGTTTTGCTTGGGGTCATCTGCACCCTTCTTGCCATTCACGTTGCCTTTGGTGGGGCCCTCCAGAGACTGGGACTTGGCAAACAGCTTCTGGACAGAGTGGACGAGGTGCCGGATCCGCCCAGGGCTCTCGCTCCGGTGCTTTGCATCACTCCTCTGAAACTGGAGGGTGCTGAAGCCGTCTCTGTGGATAGGCAGCTGCTTCTCAAACTGGTCAAGGAGGTTTGCAGGCAGGCGGTTGATTTTAGTGGCTTGGGCATGGCTCGGAAAAGGGTTGTCATCTGGGACCTCGAAGTGAGAGTTGTAATGGATGCGGGGGAAAGTGCTGCTGTTGGAGATCTGGTTGTTGAGTGGAAGGAGACAGTCGCCATGAAGGGTATTCTGGGCTGGGAATCGGGGGTCCATGGTGAAGGAGTCAGTGGGGCTGAGGAGGTAAGGGTTCCTGTCCTGGGGGGCATAAAGAGAGTCTTGAGGAGAGTCCAGGTTATCAGAAAGGTGGCGGCTTCTGTTATCTCCTAAGCCCTTCATGTTCCCAGTGTTTCCTAGACCATCGCTCAGGGATGGTGCTGCAGAGCCCCTGCAGAAGCGCCGAACCTGCTCCCTCGGAGACTTCCCTGCACCTGGAAGAAGAGGACAGATGCTCAGGGCCTGACGAGAACCTCTTTAACAGCCCACTCCTCGCCAGGACATCCTCATGATGGCTGTCCTAGCTCTAAAAGCAAATGCCACCAACGTTAAGGGACGAAGGAGAGAAGCAGGATGGGAGAGAGCTGACATGGCAGGAGGGGAGGAGAAGGGGCATGAGACTAGGGGCTGGAGAGAACAGGGTACGGGAGAGGAGGAGGGGAAGGTTTCATTCTTTCTAGCTGCAATTTAAGTGCTTGTGTGTCACAGTGCCCAAGCACACGCTGCTTAAATAATGCTGCTGCTATTTTTCTGGTCTCTGCACATGTTTGTTTAATAGAGTCCCTTCCCCAGCCAGCATAACAAAGGCTAACAGGGGCGCTGCCAGCAAATCACTGCTCCTGTCCCGTTTGTTCAGGGGGCTGGAGAAAAACCTGCTGTCAAACACTGCACACGGGCCTTGCCTGAGCCAGGGGAAGTCTGGAGCTGAGCATCCCATCTTCTGCATTATGCTTTCTGTTTCTGTGGTTACTGGATCTCGGAAGGGGGCTGGCAGCCCTGCTTTGTGTGTTGCATGCAGCTGCGCTAATGCGATGTGATGTCAAACGTCTCCTCTCCAACAAGTGCCCCGTTTTATGGCATGTTTTACCCTGGAGGAAATTGTTTCAGTAGCTATGATGAGAGCAGAGGTGTTTCTGAACACTCAGAGCCTGACCTGAGAAGCTGTTTGCTGCTCAGTTGATCTTTCCTGCTGCATCGCTCCTGAGAGAGCTGTGTCACCCTCCAAGCCTAGCTATCTGTCCTTTGCTGCTGTGGTCCTCCTCTGCAACAGCAAGGGGCTGAGGTTGGCCATCTGTGGCCCATTCAGAAGGTACTGGCATCCCTGTGGGGTGATGGAGGGGGGCAGCCTGACACAGACAATCCCTTAGGGCAGGGGAGCACCTCACTGAAGGTTTCTCTGGTGCATGTATCCTGTCCTGTTTGGCTTGGAGGGATCCTCATCTGCACTGGGTTATACAGGGAAAAAAGACAAACTTTTTGTGGCTGCTTAAAGAAAATCAATGAACATATAGATGGGTTGAGTTGCCAATCAATGAGTTAATTTTCCATACTTAAAAACTATTTGAAATCATGTAGTGTATAAACTAATTCTTCTTTCTTTTTATCTTTTAGTTTAATTTCTTATTTCCTTTTTGTTTTAATTTCAGTGTTGCTTAAAGGCAACTAGCAAACATTGAAGCAACCTACGGATGTAAAAATCCAGAGAATGAGCTCTTAGACTACGTTTTCAAAATCCAGGGCCCAAACCATATACACTTAGCTGAATGGCTGCTCTTTGGTAAGGTGAAGGGGCTGCTCTGGGATCTGGGACAACAGAGGTCTGTGCAGAAGAGCCATTTTCCAACACTAGGATGATCCAATGTTCCCCAACAGGCAACTGGAAGGGGAAATAGTACCTGGACCCACAGAGCCTCCAGTGATTTTGTGAGAAAGAAAAGCATCATTTGCTTTTTCCTAGAGAACGAGTAGGATAACGGTGTGTCCCTGTCAGAAGCAGAGCTGGTAGTCTGGGCTCCTGGGTTCTCCCCATTCAGCCACAAGTTTGACTCTGGTCTCCCCAAGGAGCTTGTCTTCCTTCGTGCAGTCTGATCAGCCAAAGCAGCAAAGACTGAACTGGTACAGGGAGTGGAGTCAGCAATCACTGAAGGACGGTAGGAATTATCAGGCTTGTTTTCCTTCCTCACACAGGGAAAAATGTATCAATAATGAAAAGCAGCTGGGGCTTTAAATAATTGTTTGGAAGCACAAAAAAAAAAAAAAAAAAAAGTAGTGCAATGTATTCCATAGCTTGATGAGTCTCCATCTAACTCTGTTGCTTCCAGCGGGTTGGCAAAGCAAAGCTGGGCTCTCTAAAGCAGCGGTTTGCAGACAGCAGGTAAGTGCAGCCTGGGCTCCCCGCCCTGCTCCGACAGAGACTCCCACTCCCCCTCCCATGAATCCTGCTCCTGGGGGGTCCTGCCAGCCGCCCCGCCGTGAACTCAGCCGAGTGCACTTCTGGGAATTGCCAGCTGCCCCCCAACACTCACGTGAACCTGCACAGCTCTTGTCCCCAGGGGATCCTGTGGCCCCACACAAGGCTTGCTTGGTCCCGTCCCACCTCTCCAGAAACCCACCGGAGAAGGTGCACGGCCCCATGGGGTGGGTCGCCTTGACCTGCTGCCTGACCTGGGCCTTGCAGCTGGTCCAGCTGCCTTCACCTACACCCTGGTGCCCTGACACTTCACCTGGTCTTTGGCAGCGTGGGAGAGGTGATTTGGCCCTCAGGCCTCTCCACCACATGGACAGTGTCCATGCGTTTTTGGGACAAGGACGTGGCTGTTATCCTGACCTGAGCTGAGGGAACTTTGACACCAAATCTGCCCTTCTTGCAAAAACACCCTTGACTGGTGTCCAGCTGCTCATGGTCCCTGTGGGTGCCATCCTTTTCTTGTTGTGCTCCTCAGCAGCTAGGTGCAACAGCCTTTCTGGAGTCCCTTGTCTGTGGGACATCACCCATGCGAGGTGGTGGAGCAGCAGTGAGTGCTGGCTGGAGAAGTGCCACAGAACAGAGACTCATGGATGTGCCAGGCAGCCCTGCTCCTGCTTTGTGCAAGCTGGCATCAGCACAGTTAAAGAGTGGTGACAAAAAGCCCCAGCAGATGTTCTGAAAGGAAACCCTCTGGGCAGAAGAGAAGGACAGAGCGTAGAAGGACAGGCTCCAGACTGACCCATCTGTCTGGTCCTTTAAATTCCAGATGGCCATGAATGGGCAAGCTCAACCCTGTCCGACTTGGAGAGAAAGTTCTTCAGGTAGCGGGGAGCCCAAATCCTCCCTGAATACCACCCTGATCTGCCCAGGCTCAGCTCTGCCCACCACGGCCTTTTTCTCCCTTCCTTCCACACCCCAGGTCCAGACACCCAGCAAGGTCCTTCACTTGGGCTCGGCTGCCCAAGGCCATCCTGGTTCTGATGGACGCTGTGTTTCTCCTGTTGTATTACGCTACAGGAGTCAGACAGTCCCTCAGGAGACAACAGAGTGCTGATTTGATTATGAAGGATGTCTATGGATATTGCTGGTAAATACGTCTTTTCCTACACAGGCCAATGAATATTTGAAGCAGAAATCTCCCAGGCACTCCTGAGAGAGACTTCAGCCCTGTGACTGCTTTGCCATAAAGAACGTCAGCATCACTGGGCTCCAGCAGAAAGTAAAACTGCCTTAGGACTCAAAATAAATAGGGAAATGAAATGAAATTAAATAAATGAAATTAAAATAAATAAGATGCAATGAAAGCCTGGCTTGCAAGGGAGGAGTGGGGCCAGGGGCTGGACTGGCTCATCAGCTCAAGAAGCAGAGGGGCAGGGAGGAGTGACTGGGGGGCTGTGGGGAGAAGTGGGAAGGGAGGAAAAGTGAAGTTTCAGGGGGGACCTGGAGGAGCAGGAGCAGAAGGAATGGGAAGGCAGAGAGCAGGGGAGGGCAGGGATCTCCTTGTCTCCCAGGCACGTGTGCTCTTGCTAAGGGTGAACACTCGCTTCTATATGGCAGAGAGTTTATTCCTCTGTTTTCCTCCTTTGCAGGGCTGCGAACAGGTCCAAATCATCCTGCCCATCCTGCTTGCCTTGGGCATCCCTTCATGTGATGGTCAGCCACAGCATGGGGTGCCAGTCCGGCTGCTGGGCATGTCTCGGGTCAGGGCTGGTGGGGCAGTCAGGATGCCCCCAGTCCCTGGTGCCCACTATGCTGTGTTTGCTGCAGCCTCTGTGAGCTGTTTTCCCTTTCAGACAGATTAAACTGTTTTCATTACATTTCAGTTACTCTCTACAATCCTTGGCACTTTCTTGAGACATGGGGTCAGGGAAGGGAAAAATCCAACAAGCCTCTTCCCTGCCATCTTTTTAATTTGGAAGGATGAAAAAGCTTGAAATTAAATCTCCCAAATCCGTGATCCTGCAGCTCGCAAACTGGGCAAGGTCTGTCTTTCAGGACAGCTGCCCAGTGCCCCTGCTCTGTCCCCCTGCCCTGAGTCAGGCACCATGACAAGGAGATGGACCTGGAGAGCACCCAGAGTGGTCAGCAGGAGAAGACCCTGGTTAGCAGATGGTCATAGCAGGGGCTGCCAGGGCGTGGAGAGGATGCATCCCTGAGCCCAGGGGAAGGGGCTGGTTTTGCTGCATAACCCCACTACCTTCCTTCCCTTCAGGTTGTCTTTTTTTGGGGTTGCCCTTCCTCTTCCCAGTGGCTTTGCTGATGCTCAGAGGTCTCTGAGGTGCAGTGAATCACCTGCTCTGATTTATGGCAGTTTTGTGTGTCCCAAACCACTCTGAAGCCCGGCTGGAGTCAGCTTCCTCTCGGGCATGGTTTACAGCAGCAGCACTGGAGCTGCCTGTTTGAAGGCTCGGACCAGCTGCACTGAATTCACTTAGAGCAGCACCTCCTGCAAAATACATCTGCAGCTCCAGACACTGAGCAGTGTATGAAATCTTAAACTGTGGAGGAGATGATAGCCTTGCCTGAAGAAGCTTCCTGCTCAGCAGGGACTCCTCTTCTCCCCTGGCTGAGCGCTGCCACTGTTTCCTTCCTGTAGGACCCACAGCTGCTGCGCTTGTCTGCTGTGAGTGGGAGATGGGGCCGGGCCAGGGACTGCCGGAGCTGGTGGGAGATGGTTCACTCCACTTCCAGAGAATTGAATCACATCTTCATTGCCAGCTGAAAAGCCTCCATTGTTGTAAGAGATACTTCAGTGACTGCAAATATTTGCTTTTCTATTCTCTTTTTGACAGCAAAGAGATTAAGTTGGCCCGAACTCTGGGCAGAGCAGGAGGTAACCAAAAGGAACTGGATGGAGGAGACAGCTGCAATGCAG